ACAGCCACGCCGGGAGCGTGGAAAGATCAATGTCCGCGCTCTGCGGACGAACGAGATGTCGAAGGAGGATTTCAAATTCCTCTTTGACCAGGCCCGGGCCATGTATGGCCAGGATTTTTAAGGAGGGCCCCGATCAAGGCCGAATCGGCGCCCCCCGCTTCTCTTCCCCTAAATAAATATGTTCCGCTTGAGGTGGAACCGACCGAGACCCGAAGTTCTTTTGTAAATTATATAAAACAGCGCACTGCTCTACGTACACAGGACAATATAGTAGTAGGAGTAGATGTAGAAAAAGACAAAAAACAAATACGTATTTTAGAGAATCTGAATCGCATCCGTAATATTAAAAACCGTAGAATGGACAAAGTGAACAAGCATTGGAGTTTATTTAAAAAGGCCCCTGGAACCCAAACCAGTGAGAAAAATAGTGCGGATAAAAAGGGCGGTGCTACCGCGATGGCTCAACCCACAGTTGTGGGGGAAGCGCCAAAACACACACGAGTCCCCTTTGGACTCAAGAAGCAGGAGGCAGCCAGGTGGCTTGCACGACGCGCGATGGGTATCTCAGACAACCTATTAGCGCAGGAACTCCGGGAGTTCCAGAAGCAGCGGAAGCAGCATGAGATGCTGGTGTCAGTAGAGCTGATGTCTCCGGACACGGGGAAGACACGCCGTATCAAGGCGCTGCTGGACAATGGCTGCACTACCACGTGCATTGATCGGGTGTATGCCAAAGCAGAAAACTTTGAGCTCCGAGAGCTTGACCAGAAAATTGTTGCACGGAATGCGGACGGATCCGAGAACCTTGGAGGACGGATTACGCATTACGCAGAATTAATTATGGGAGTTGGACTCCACCGGGAACGAATAAAGTTCTTGGTTACAAATCTCGGGAAGGCCCGTGTATTTATCGGATACGACTGGTTATTTAAACACAACCCCGAGATCGACTGGAGGTCTCAGAAAATTACCTTCAGTCGGTGCCCGCCCGAGTGCAACATGCAAGGCACCGAGGAAACCGAGGGCTGGAAGCCGGAGGAAGCGCTCGAGGAGGGTGAGTCAATCTTGATGGTCGACTTTGCGGAGCACATAGACCTGCGTGTCAAGGCCACTCAGGCACAGCAGATGGCGGAGGAGGCAGATAGAGATAGAGAAAAGATGACGGAGGATGCGGTTCCGGAGCAGTATCGCGAATACATCAAGGTGTTTGCAAAAGAGTCGTTTGACCGACTTCCGGAAAAGAGGCCGTGGGATCATGCGATCGAACTAAAGCCGGCCTCCAAGGCAGTTGATTGCAAGATCTACCCGTTGTCCCAGACGGAGCAGGGAGAGTTGACCAAGTTCCTAGAGGAGAACTTGAAGAGTGGACGTATCAGACCGTCGAAATCACCTATGGCTTCGGCGTTCTTTTTTATTAAAAAGAAGGATGGAAGCCTTCGACCGGTGCAGGATTACCGGAAGCTTAACGAGATGACGATCAAGAATCGTTATCCACTACCGCTGATCTCGGAGCTTGTCAATAAACTCCGAGGAGCGAAGGTCTTCACGAAACTGGACATTCGCTGGGGATATAATAATATTCGTATTAAAGAGGGAGATGAATGGAAGGCGGCTTTCCGAACCAACCGCGGCTTGTTCGAGCCGCTCGTGATGTTCTTCGGCTTGACAAACTCGCCGGCCACTTTCCAGACAATGATGAACGACATCCTTCGCGAGTTAATTAACGAAGGAAAGGTCATTGTCTACCTCGACGACATCCTTATTTTCACGGACACTCTGGAAGAGCACCGACTTATTGTAAAACGAGTGTTGGAGATACTCGAGAGAAATCAATTGTATTTAAAGCCTCAGAAATGCGAGTTTGAGCGCAGTGAGGTCGAGTACCTCGGAGTAATTATTGGTCACAACTCCATGAGAATGGACCCTGTGAAGATCCGGGGGATCACCGAGTGGCCGGAACCGAGAAACCTCAAACAAGTCCAGGCGTTTTTGGGGTTCACCAATTTCTATCGGCGATTCGTACGGGGATACAGTGAGGTGGCCAAACCCCTCACGAGGTTGACGGGGAAAGAGGGCTTCTCCTGGGGAGAAGGACAGAAGGCGGCCTTCCAGAAGTTGAAGGACCGGATTGCGGAGGACGTGGTGCTCGCACTTCCCACGGATCACGGGAAGTTCCGGATAGAGGCTGATGCATCGGAGGGAGCAACTGGGGCGGTGCTTGAGCAGGAGCAAGAGGGGGGGTGGCGCCCAGTGGCGTTCCAGTCCCATGGACTGAACGAGACGGAGCGGAACTACGAGATCTACGACAAAGAGATGCTCGCAATCATGCTCGCGTTGGAGGAGTGGAGATCTCTCTTGATGGGAGCGCAGGAGACATTTGAGATCTGGACGGATCATCAAAACCTGCAGTATTTTAAAAGTCCTCAGAAAGTCAATCGGAGGCAAGCGCGATGGATAGTTGAGCTGTCCGAATACGACTTCACGCTTTCTCACCGGCCTGGAGCGCTGAACAAGAAAGCTGATTTACTATCCCGCCGGGCGGACCATGACCAAGGGAAGAATGATAACGAGAATATTGTTCTTCTCAAGCCCGAATATTTCAGATCTCAGGAGATCATGTTAGAGGGACCCGAAGCCGAGATCATGTCACAGATCAAAGCGGAGAAGAAGGTCGACAAGAGCGTGAAGCTGGCGCTCCAACAAAAACTCCCTGGCTGGGAAAGGATCGATGACCTTATCTATTATAATGGACTCATCTATGTGCCGCACAACCCGGAGTTGCGAGATAAGATTATCGGGTTGCACCACGATAATGCTCTGCTTGGTCACCCAGGACCAAATCGGACACAGGAGATGATTGAGCGTAATTATTGGTGGCCACGGCTGGGAAACCAAGTTGGTGGATATATAAAAGCATGCGAGCCGTGCCAACGAACGACGGTTCATCGGTATAAGCAGGGAAAGCTTAACCCGCACGAGATTGCGGCAGGACCCTGGCAGAATATATCCATGGATCTGATCGGACCACTGCCGGTCAGCAATGGTTTTAATGCTATACAAGTCTGGGTCGACATGTTCTCGAAGATGATCCACTGCGAGCCAGTCAATATGGACTTGTCTTCCGAAGGTGTTGTCCGGTTGACCCGGGACCGAGTGATTCGATACCATGGAATTCCTCGCAAGATCGTCTCGGATCGGGATCCGCGGTATGTCTCGGGATTCATGAAGGAGCTGAACTGGCTCCTCGGCATTGAGATGAACTCGAGCACGGCATTCCACCCAATCACCGATGGCCAGACCGAGCGCATGAACCAGGAGATTGAGAAATATCTCCGTATCTATGTAAATTATCGCCAGTCGGACTGGGCGGAATGGCTCGCGCTGGCGGAGTTCACGCACAACGACAAGACAAGCTCGTCGACGAGCATGTCACCGTTTTTTATAAATTCCGGACTCCACCCCTGGAAGGGGATAGAGAATGCAGTCGAGTCGCGCAACGAGGCCGCGAACGACTTTGCCGGAAAGATGAAAAAGATTCGTGACGAGGCGACAGCAGCGCTGGAGAAAACCCAGAAAAGCATGAAAAAATATTATGACGCTCACCGGCGTGACGCGCCAGTATTTAAAGTTGGAGACAAGGTCTGGCTGGAGGGGAAGGACATAACCACAGACCGGCCAACAAAGAAGTTTGATGACTTACGGCTGGGGCCGTATGATGTCATGGAGAAGGTGGGGGCATCGGCCTGGAAGTTGAGACATTCCGGAGACGGACAAGTCACATCCGGTCTTCAACGAGAAGCTCTTGACGCCGTATGTGGAGCCCCCGGCACATCGAAAGGAGAATCGCCCCGCTCCCCAGATAGTGAGCGGCCACGAGGAGTACAAGGTGGAGGAGATATTGAAGCACCGCAAGCGCGGCAATGGCTTCCAGTATTTAATCAAGTGGAAAAATTATCCGCTGGCGGAACGGACTTGGGAACCTAGACGGCATCTTACACACGCAAAAAAGATGCTTGACAAATATAATGCGGATCACGGAATCATTATCCGTGCTTTGCCTATATTTCCGAAGGGCCACTGGGACTATTTAGTTAAAAGATACAAATGCCGCGAGGAGTCGCAACAATACTCGACGAAGAAGTTATTTATTCCTGAAACAAACTCCTTCATTGCCATCGACGAGGACGTCGATTCTAGAGGGGGGGTAATGTCACGATTCGATTCCAATCTTATCGCGACAACGCCTATCTCGGAGGTGCCTAATGAAGCGCCCACAGATGAGATAACGAAGGGATTAGATATGGACTTAGATTAGATAGTTGAACACCTGGCAAACACATGGTAAAAGAACATTGCAGAACATTCCGGCACTACATGCTGCAGCAGGACGGTTTACGCACCGAGTACATACACGATTCATATTCACACGGTTCACAGAACAGTCTAAGTAGAGTAGTTAGTTTCTTGTATTCCTTAGTCTTTTATTCGATTCATTTCTCGAAGTCCTGCGCATCTCACTCCCCAATCCGCTATCTCTGTATAGTCGGACGAGATAAGGCTTTGATTGTGACAAGAAGGCGTAAATCCATGCACTCCAGCATCCGGGGAGGCCAGAAAAATTAGATTTCCTTCCACCACATTTTTTTGGCTGCGTGACGACTGGTTGAACCTATTCGACATCGGGCTCCGTGACACGTTACTTCGACCAAAGTTCGTGAACGACACCGTGGTGCGTGACGCGTGACTGTCGATTTGAACGAATTAATACAGTACTTGCATTGTCAGAATTGCTGTCTGGGTCACTTTGAGGTATAAAACTCGCTTGCATTCAGCCTGCGGGATAAACAATACTTTTGCAGGAGTTTGCGCAGCAAGGATTGATATTGGGACGTTGAAAGGCATCTGAGGAGGTCATTGAGTACAAAGGATCAGGACACTTGGGCGGGGACCAAGGAGAAAGAGGCCAAACGAGAGAGGGAGAGTGGGGAGGAGCAAAACATTGGCCGAAGCGAGGATCGAACTCGCGCGGAACTGTGTCCATCGGGATTCAGGGCGACTGTAGGGCAGTCACGTGCTTAAATCCGACGCCTTAACCACTCGGCCATCCGGCCATTTTTCTTGGTTGGCTTTGAAATCACGAGCTTCGAAGAGTGTGTTCCGAGCTTGTGTTTGAAGCAAAATCGGACAGTGCACTCAACACATCCACAGCTCTTCACCCGACGCCTTAACCACTCGGCCATCCGGCCACTCCAGGTTCGCAGTCACCCGAGTTTGTGAGGTTCGGAAGGTGAATGACTGTGTTGATTCACCGAGACAGCACGCATCCACAGCTTTTCACCCGACGCCTTAACCACTCGGCCATCCGGCCATTTTTCTTGGTTGGCTTTGAGATCACGAGCTTCAAAGAACGCACGGTGCAGCTATGTGCGGGTTGACGTTTTCACCTTCAAGTACGGTTTCCGGCTCTTTGAGTCAAAAATAGTGGAGAGATGGTCTCACTTAAACTAACAGCTTCAACCATACTTCACAAATGGAGACACCGCCGACTAAGGAAGCTCCAGCCAACAAATATAGCATGGAGTCCGGCTGCTAGTAAGCCTGAGGCGGAGAGTCGACCAAAAACAGGACGCCCGTTCGATTCGAGGTCCGTAAGAATTGGTTGAGGGAACCTATTTTTCGTTCGCAAGAGAGCTCGAGTCAAGCTACGATTGGAACGAAATTTACTCCGACGAACGTTTGGATTGATGATACGATTGATGATACAGTTAATAAGACAATTTGTAGGGTTACACATAGCGGCCAAGCGCGGCTACGCCCCACCGGGTGGAGCCCACGAGGAGATCGGAGGTTGTGGTCGTACAAGGGATGCAGGGAGAGGAGATGAAGAGCTCGAGGCAAAAGATCCGTTCGAAAGTGGTGGCGGCACCGGAGTTGTTGATCCGACGCTACGACGGATAAGTGGTGCAGAATGCACAAGGCGTCAGGCATACTTACCTAGAGTCCTGGAGCGGAGTTCCAGTCAGTGGGACTACGCTTGGAGGTGGGATGGGGTTGGATATCGTGGGCTCCGCATTGATCTGTAAAAATCCAGCCTGGGCGAGGAAATCCCAAACCCTGCTGGTCTTATTGACGTCAATTTTGACGAGATCTCTTGCCTCCCTCCTGCGCAGCTTGCCTCCCCTTCTTGCATATTCGCGGACCAAAGTCTCCTTAACGACAAGGTAGGGTTTGGGAAGGATACGCAGCTGGGAACACAGTGTTTGCTCGACTGGCGTGAGGAGGTGGAGAGATGGGCTGTTGGCGAGGTTCAAAGGAGCTAATGCCAGTATTGAGATTTGGCTGCGACGAACGATAATAAAAAGGTGTACCTCGTTTCCGAGCATTGACTGTGGCCGAAATGTCTAGTTTCGGCGACGTTTCTCGGTCGTGGCTTTTTCTACCCTCAGGGGCCAGGCTTGAACGATCAGGGCCTGAAGATTGTCGTCCGCTGCCTCTGCTCTTCTCCGCGGCATAATTTTCTCGCGGGTTAATTTTAATCTGAGTCTAAGGCGGCTTGAAAATGTCAAACGAGACTAGGAGACGGAGGCCATACCCTTTTATTCATGTCGTTCGTATACTTTTCGATGTCCGCTGAAGTCGACAATCCAAGTCGACGATAGTGCTGCAAGTCTTGGATTCTTTTTCGAAGGATGGCTTCATCTATTTGAGACAACCGTCTTCAGTTCAGCGGGGGAAGAAAGGAAATATTGGCGCACAAAGAATGTCTGCGGAGAAGTGTTCATAATCCTCAGCGGTTTGAAGTCGCGCAAATGGTCGTAGTCGATGAAGGATATCCTTCTCTTCCTTTGGCCGTTTCTTTTCCGCGGCTTGCATCTGCAGAATTGAGTGGGGCGCAGAAGTAGAGGTGCCGCCTTGCGTACTTTTCTATACTCCAACAGCCCACGATCAAACATCAGTCGCTTGCTTTCCAAACGTTTCTCGACCCGTTGAGCATACATTTCTAAAAGAGTGAGCTTAAATGTCAGGGAGTGCTGTGTTTCGGCGGGCGGCAGTTGTGTGACTTCTTCCTCCTCGTCGACGGTACCCGTGGCATTACCCATGACCACATCCTCGGATTGAGATGGCCGCTTCGCATGCGCGGAGACGTCGCCATTCACCCGCATCCCATTCACCGCTCCATTGGAGGAGCCATTGGCGACAGGCATAGGAGCTTTGCCTTTGCCTTTGTGTGGCTTGCGTTCCGGCGTGGCAATCCTGGAACCAACGATCCCGTTCCTCCTGTCTTCCTCCCATCGAACTCGAGCCTTGACATCGAGATCGTTCTCGTCCTCCATGATTTGGTCACCGCCAAACTCCAGACAAACACCAAACTCGAGATCCTTGACGAGATCTTCGGCCTCGTTGTCTAGTTCATGTTCAAATTCCAAACGGCCGGGAAGGAATGTAGCAATTTCATGTATTCCCGGCGCAGAGGTCGGTGCAGCCTTCTGGGGAGGTATAGGCATGGCGTTCATTTCCGAGATTCGCCGGCGCTTCGTCTCTTGGAATTCCTCGGGCGGTATATCGAATGTAAGGTCCATCCGCTTCAAAGCGTCAGCGTGAGCGGGGAACGCGATACAAAAGGAACTTGCAGGTAAAGGCCATTCGGGCGACTCGACATAGACACTATTGTAGTGTTTCTCGACTTCCTCCTTGGTCTGAGTGCCAACATGCTCTGCGATCTTCTTCCAATTACCAAGACCCTGGCTTGCGATGCCCTTCAATAAAAGGAGTTCTCTAGACAAAACATCAACGGCGGAATGAGCATTGGACAGATAACTGACTCGTCCGCTCCCCAGTCAGCGGAGAATATTGGGTAAGAGTTGAATTCCTGGAGGCGGCGTTGAGACAATGAATGGTTGATAACGGTTGGCGTACAATAACACGATACGCGTGACCTCTGAGGTGGTTGCCAAATTGCTTTCCCGCACAAAAGCAAGGAGGGCATATGTCGACTCCATCCTCTGACTGGCAAGCAGGGTCGGCGCATTTTATGCGAATTGTGTGGGTGAGATCGCATGCACACGAATCACATTCAAATTGAACGCCAGGCTCAGTGACCGCTGCAAATTCGGTCAGGCGCGGTTGGATAGCGTAGAACGGACTTGCTAGCAATTTCGTCTGGTTGAAGTGGCGGTTTCCGGTGTGTTACAGTCATGAAAGGTAAAATCAACAGCGCTGACAAACTACGGCAAATACCGCAAATCTATTCACCCATATCTACCATAACCTCGTCTGGCCCTCTCCCATCCCGCTTCAAGTCCTGCATATCAAGGGCAACGGTGTCAACAAGTTCTTCGGGCTCCTCTTCAATGTCCTCAGCGTCCTCAAGCTCCTCGGCCTCCTCCTCTTCCTCCTCCAGCCGTCCGCCTTCCCCCTCTCCGTCAGTCTCCACATGAACGGATGGATCCAGGTCGACGTCTATTTCTTCATCGACGTCCATCGCCATGCCCGGCCCTGACGATATTGACTCGCTGGGATCCACGTCGATGGGTACCGAGTTTGCGGCCAATGGTGGCAGAACAATGGTGGCCTTTTCCTTGCCCTTGACGGACTTTGTCGTGGAGGCGAGCGGAGTGGTGGTTTTGCCCTTGGGGCCGATGCTGGAGCTGCCTTTCTTACTCTTGTCAGTTTTCGCCTGTTCGCGGTAGACTGCAAACATCGCATTAGCTATACACATTAAATGAGACAGACGACGACGCGCACCCAAAAGCTCGGCCTGCAGCTTGTCCACCAGGTCCCCGAATTCTATCATTTCCAAGGCTTTGAGCACGTCGGATGCCGATATACTCTTGTGCTGCTTGGACAGAGCCACATCATGAGCGCTGAGGGCGCGACGCGTCAGAAAAACTGTCGGTGGATGGAAGAGAGAAGTGGACTCGCGTAGCAGCTGTACGACGCGTCGCGTTCAGTTCACAGACGCGACTTGGCACAGAAAACATGGCGGCGAACGCACCCAAATAGTTTATGAACACAGTAGAGCCCTTGATGAGAGAAAGAACTGTCTCCTTCTGAAGTTTCACGTTTTCTGGCAGCTTGGGGAACATGAACGAGCGTTTCTGGCGAGTAGGGGCGAACGCACTGCGGATCTGGCAATCCTCGTTACGAGGGACTTTGGGAGCTCAAAGTTTTCCATTCCGTCAGAGACAAGATCCTGTTGAGCCTGGGCTGATATCGACCCTTGAGCTGTTTCTTTGCGGGGCATGGTTGTGCAAGAAAGAGTCCGTGACGGAAATATTGTCACAGTCCAACATATGGCTTCAGTCCATCCATCTCGAGCAGGCCTGGTTCCAAAAGACTCTCCCGCCTACGCTGACCGACACCGTCCCCGCTCCCCGTCGCCTCGCCGCCGCCGCAGCCCTTCCCCTCGTCGGCGAACCCCTTCTCCCCGCCGCAGCCGAAGCCGCGAAAGAACGAACCGTGCAAGCCCGGAATACGACGATTATAAGCGGCCTTTGCCTCCCCAAGAGCTTCAAGTCCCTTGGCACCAAGATGGCTCTGGTACTCGTGATAGGCCTCCTCACTATGCTGGGAATGCCTATGGGGGAGGCGGAGGCGATATGATGGACAGGTGTGCAAGTTGCATGTTACTTGGGCTTTGGTCCTGAGGCCTGATTCTTTACAGTCGGCGGGCCAAGCGAGATGCAACCGTCGTGGATATCTGGCCGCCATCTCCCAAGGCCGCCGCTCGAGACTTGTGCGTTCGTTTTCCGTGTATTGCTCGTTCCCCTAATATTCGTAACCCAGGTCGCCGAAACGTGGAAAATCAAGTAAAAAATCTAAACGCCCTCGTTCTGTCTCTAGCGACTCTTCGGAAGAGGAGTATCGTCGTCGAAAGGAGCGGAAAGAAAAGAAGAGGGCTAAAAAGGACAGGGAACGCCGGAGCAGCAGGAAACACCGTGACTCCGAAAGCGATTCTGACGATATCGACCGAAGCGGCCGCCCTAGTCGGACGAAGGCCCTTCCTCCTAGCCGGACCCCGAGTCCTCTTGTCGACGAGGAAGACGACGAATGGATTGTTAAACCTGTCGCTACCCCATCGGGCGCCCTCCCCCTCCCAAATGATGGTGGT